GGGGCTCGATCCCAGGACCCCGGAATCATGACCTGAGCTGAAGGCAGACGCTTAACGACTGAGCCACCCAGGCGCCCCTGTCTTTTAACATTTTTATAGTGCAGTTCTGCTAATGATGAATTCTTTCAGTTTTGTATGTCTGAAAAAGTCTTCATTTTGTTTTCATTTTTAAAAGATGTTTTTACTAATACAGAATTCTAATTGATAGTTTTTCTTTAAAAATATTGCTTCACTGTCTTTTGGCTTGCTTATTTTCTGATGAGAAATCTATCATTCTTACCTCTGTTTCTCTGTATATGATGTATCTTTTTCTGACTGTGCTATGATTTTCTCTTTATCACTGGTTTTAAGCAATTTGATTGTCTCTGCCTTGGTGCAAAATTATGTTTCTTGTGCTTAGGGTTTGTTGATATTCTTGGATTTGTGGGTTTATAGATTTCATCAAATTTGGAAAATTTTTGTGCATCATTTCTTCAAATATTGTTTTCTTTTCTCTCTCCTTTCTTATGGACTCCAGTTATATGTACATTAGGCTGCTTGTGTTTGTTCCACAGCTTGCTGATAATTTGTTTATTTAAAAAATTTTTAGGCTTCTCTTTGTGTTTCATTATGTATGGTTTCTATTGCTATATCTTCAGGTTTACTTCTGTGCCCTCCGCGTCCAAACTGCTATTCATCCCATCTGCCGATTTTTCATTCTAGACCTTACAGTTTTCATCTGTAGAAGTTCAATCTGGGTCTTTTGAAATTTTTCCATGTTTTGACTACACACATTGAATCTTTCTTCTAGATTCTCAGTCATATGGAATATGGTCATAATAAGTGTTTTAACATATTTGTATACTAATTCTATAAATTGTCATTTCAGGGTCATTTTTGGTTGATTTTTCTCATTATGGGTTGTATTTTCCTGGTTATTTGGAAGTCTTATAATTTTTGATCTGATATCAGGCATTATGAATTTTATCTTACTGAATGCTGGATATTTTTATGTCCTTATACAAAGGTCCTCTGAATACTTAATCCAATAACTTGTGTGTTATGACATTTTCCACTCTGGCTGGTGAGAACATGGAATAGTTTGGCCCCATGTGAACACTGTTACCTTTAATATTTGGGGGCATTTTTTTCTGTGTACTCAGATAGTTTCATCATACACATGCACCAGTCAGTAGTATGTTGAGCAGTCTTGGGGATCCTCTGTAGATCGTTGGTGTTCTTGCTCTGTACATTCCTCTTCCTGTGAACCCAAGCTGCCTTGGTCTCTCCAGAGTTCCATCTTTATCTCCTCAAACTCAGGAATACTGATACATTTCAACTGGATTTACCCTCCCTGGGCTGCTGCCTGGGGATTTTCTCCAGGCAATAAGCTGGGGCAGTTGTTGGACTCATCTTACTTACTTTTGGTCTCTTGGGGATCTTTATCCTACATTGCCTGATACCCAGTGTCTTTAAAATATATGTTTCATCATATATTTTGCACAGTATTTTAGTTATTTTAGGTGGAAAGGTAAATCTGACCCCTGTGACTCTATTATTGCCCCAAATGGAAGTCTCCTAATTTGTTATTACATAAGATTTTAAGAGTCTGGGCATTTTATTTATTTTTCTTTTAAAATATTTTATTACTTGTATAATCCTACAAAAATCTATTTAGTTATATCTATCCATACATGTATATACATGTTTTTTAAGTTTTTTATTTATTTTTAAATTATTTTTTAAATTTAAGTTTACTTAACATACAGTGCAATTCAGTAGAATTCAGTGATTCATCACTTACATACAACACCCAACACCTCTTTACAACAAGTGCCCTCTTTAATAAGAGTCTGGGCACTTAAAAATTTAGTTTGTACAGAGCCCAACATAGTTTCAGTTCTTAATAGATTATGTTGATGGTTTTGATATAGAACATAATTTAACATTTTTTTGGTAGTGTAATATTTTTATTTTTATTTTTTTTAAAGATTTTATTTATTTATTTGACAGAGAGACACAACGAGAGAGTGAACACAGCAGTGGGGGAGTGGGAGAGGGAGAAGCAGGCTTCCGCTGAGCAGAAAGCCCGATGTGGGGCTCGATCCCAGGACCCTGGGATCATGACCTGAGCCAAAGGCAGATGCTTAACAACTGAGCCACCCAGGTGCCCCTGTAGTGTAATATTTTTAATGAAAATGTGAATGCTCTGAAGAGATGTATTTTTGTTTTGTTAAAATCTTTCGAATATTCTGACAAGCATGGGTAGTACTTGGTAACTGAATTAAAATTTAAATGTATTTTATACATATATATTTCATATGTATTTATTTATTTATTTACTAGGTCTTCATCCTCCGGGTCCACCTTTAGCAAGACCCATTCTCCCCCGAGAACGAGGTGCTCTGGATAGAATTGTTGAATATTTAGTTGGTGATGGTCCACAAAACAGGTAATGTTTATTAAGGTGGTAGGTAAATGAAAATGAGGAAAAAGTTTATTGGTCGGGGTGTATGTGTGTGTGTGTGTGTGTGTGTATGTAGTAGATGTTCTACAGTTTTGTGGCTCTTATTTCCTGATTTTAGAACATAATAGAATATTTTATAGCCCTGCAAAGAGTACATATTCGTTTGTTTTTCAGTAAAAATTTGGATAAAGTATCTAGATAAAATACAGAAAAATATATAGAGAAAACAAAATAATGTTATATGATATTTTTAGAGAAATTGTATCATTTCATTGAAACTTTTAAGCTTGAAGAGCAAACAAATAGCGAAAACTTGGTAGGTTGTAAGAAATGGAGTTTCAGGGGCGCCTGGGTGGCTCAGGCATTAAGTGTCTGCCTTCGGCTCAGGTCATAATCTTAGGGTCCTGGGCTCGAGCCCCACATGGGGCTCCCTGCTCAGTGGGGAGCTTGCTTCTCCCTCTCCCTCTCCCACTCCCCCTGCTTGTGTTCCCTCCCTCGCTGTCTTTCTCTCTCTTTCAAATAAATAAATAAATAAAATCTTTAAAAAAAAAAAAAAGAAATGGAGTTTTATAGATGTCAGTACTGGAATTGGTGATGGTGATGATTTTAACAATGAGGACAATTTACATATGTTTGACACTTTTAGTTCTCAAAATACTTCTCCACTTATTATTGGATTTTTATGATAACCCTAGGAAGGCAGGGATGATGTCAGCAGAGCAACTGTCGTAGTGTAGATTTTTAAAAAATACTTAGGATGGTAGAGTAGATATTTCACAAGGTTATGGTTAATATTATCATTTTAATAAAAGGACTGAATTTAATGTTAATGTAATAAATTATATATTATTCAAAACAGACAAGTTGTTGTTTGATAGGGCCAAGTATTTGTTAAGTACATACACAGAGAACAGAGAGAGTACATAAAGGGGAAATGAGGAAGATGTATAACTAGGATAGATATAGGAATCATGAAGTATGAAGTTAACCTTTGGATTGGACTAAACAAATTAAATTCATTTCTTTATTACAGACTTCTCAGAGGTTTTAATAACATTCATTGTGAATCTCTAAGGGGTTCCATCTTTTCCAGTCTTATCTAGTCACAGATTTGGGGTCTGTCATCCTCAGAAATATATGTTAGAAAATACTGAAATTTAAGTGGTCTGTTATTGACTATGTTTCTCTTAACTTAGTAAGGATATATTCATTTGACTCATGACTTGTTTTTAATTTGGCCTATAAATTGTATTTTAAAAGGCTTAAAATTTTGGCTGTTATGTTTAAAGAGTATTGTTCATTGTTTACTAAGTAACATCTAAACTGTTAATGACATATTTCACTATGCTAAAATATAAGTTAGCTGTTGGCTAAAGTAGCCTTTCCATGGGCTTTGTCTGCATTTGCAACTGATATGTTCATTTTTCCTTTTCGTGTAGGTATGCCCTTATATGTCAGCAGTGTTTTTCTCATAATGGCATGGCTTTGAAAGAAGAATTTGAATACATTGGTAAGAATTATTGGGCAGTTAGATTTAAATATTTTACTCTTAAATATTTCATTCTATGCCAATTCCTATGTAATGTCACTTTGTTGTAGGTGCCCTGTATGTATTTTTCAGGCATATTGTTCTTATTTTAGAACACAGAGCAAAGCAGGAAAAACAGTGCAGTTGTTTTCCTCATACAGTGTACAACTTCTAGGTCAGTTTTCTCAAACTTCACTGTGTATCAGAATCACCTGAAGAGCTTTTAAAAATTATCATGCCTAGGACCCACCTACAAAGAGTCTGTTTTAATTGATCTGGGGGGAGGGGGACAGGCTTTTTTTTTTAAAGCACCTCAGATGCTCATGTGTAGCTACTATTAAAAAAATATTGCACTAAATTAATTATGCTTCTTAAATACAGCATACTACATTTTCTTGGGCAAGTGAGCAGGGTTCTGGATTTTAAAATACCTAATGATTCTACTGAGTAGAAATGTAATTTCTGTAATACATTTTAGATTGTTATAGATTGTTTTTCTATTAGATAACCTGCTGTGTAACTTACGATCTTTTCTGTTTTAAAATTAATATTCTAATTTTAATAATAATTAGAAAGTATGCTTGAAAATTAGCTTTTGTTAGAGCACTTGCCATATTGTTAAAGCCAGAAGTAATTTCACAAGGGATAAATAATTTTTGAAGGGTTCTTTGACTACTTTGCAAAAGTGATCTTGAGAATTATCTCATTAGTCCTTGAATTTATTTTGGTTTATGGTTTTATTTATTTATTTTTTAATTCTCTGCAGCTTTTAGATGTGCCTACTGTTTTTTCTTGAATCCTGCAAGAAAAACTAGACCTCAGGCTCCAAGACTTCCAGAGTTTAGTTTTGAGAAGAGGCAGGCAATGGAAAGCTCAAGTTCAGTTGGTCCCTTGCCCTCAAGAAGTGTGATTTCATCAGAGAACCCGATCAGTGAAGGTATGAATATGTTAATTAAAAAGTTTTATCTCTTAATAATGTTTGCTATTTAACAATAAAAGCATCATACTTTTAGATAAGAATGGATTAATTTATGAGATTTTGCAACATGCATGTATCAGCTATTACTCTGATAACTCTAGCCGCCTGTGTGATTGATCTGATGTGTTTCAGTGTTAAAATGTAGGTTATACTGTGTTAAGCAGCATCTAGCAACAGCTAGGTAAACACTGTTTATGGAGTGACATCTTCGTGTAACTCTTGGGAGATTTGACCAGTAATGTTTTCATGGAATAATTTTTTCAGTTTATTTAAGTGAAGCAGGTTATAAGAATTATGCAACTACTTATAAGGGTAAAATTCTGATAAGGTTTATAATTAACATTGGTAAAATAGGTTTTTGCCTACCACTGGAATTGGTAAGGTTACCAGAAGCAGGAAACTTTGGAATTGGAAAGTCATCCTTGCATTCTTTGGATAACTATGTTGATAGGACTGGTATTCCTTTGAAACGGTTTTTTGGGGTCTGCAAGATTAACATTGCTAATGTACGCCTTTGATGTAAAACAACCTTATTTTAGAGAAACAAAATTTATCAGAATTCATTGGTTTTTAGAACTCATCTTGTAATTCTGTTTTAGGATTTCTTGAGGAAGTTTCATGAGAAAATGGAAAAGAGATGGAAGATCTGACTATTAATTGCCAACTATTTCTTGTTAATATTAGATGGGGAGATGTTTGTTTAAGCAGCTCTGAATGGTGAGGATGCTAAAATTATGGCACAGGCCATGGTATTTTGATGCTATGCCTGATATAGAAAAAAAAATCCATATTAGAAGTTTAGTTCACATAGTTTATTTAGCAGTCAGTATTCATCCTTTTAATTTCTTAGAATCGTCATTTACATATATTTGATTTCTTCTTATACAAGTGCTGAGTAGTAAAAAAATCGCTTTAACAGAATAACATGAGAGAGTGAATTTTCAGATATGAGAAGTTTAGTATGAAAATTTGAGAACCTTTTTTTTTTTTTTAAAGTTAAAGAGTGAACCTAAAATATTTGTGTTGATTTAGACTTGGCTTTTGGCTTACTAACATATATCAAGATGAATTTGAACACAGATAGTCATGACAAGAAGCCTGTATACTTTCAACATGGAATCAATACCTTCACCTTCTCCAAGTCTGCAACATCAACTCCAAACATAATCACATTTTTGCTTCTGCTGAAGTCATGCTCTGAGCTGCATGCTGTCACATGCAATCACCTGCCTTGCTATTGCAGCCTGTTGAAACAGAAAACTAAAGAATTTCATAGTGAAGATGCCTAGAGGAAAAATTGAAGTCCTTTCCATGAGTAACCTTGCTTATGAAAGCTAAAGTGAATATTTGAAAGCTAATAGTTGGGACAAAAAAACAAAAGAAAGAAAACAACGAACAAAATAAAAATCTTGATAATGAGTCCCATGCTTTATTTAATATCTTCTGCTAAGGTTGAGGTGGATAGTTAGCAAACAACACCCAGCTATACCTTTCCTTCTCATCAAATCTAGGAGGAGCAATACCCTAGATGTCTCATTTTCTATCTGAAATCTCCAGAACGAAGTCTAACTGGCTCAAACTCAGCCCTAATAAGGTAATATTAAGAGGTGAAGACAAAACCTGAGGCAAGGTCTAACAACTCTGTAGCACTAGAAACTGAAGCAACAATTCCATTTGGTTAAGATAGTCTTTGGAGTAGTAACTTTTTCATACTTCTCCTTGGATTCATCAAAATGGCTATGAGAACCTTTTACTTCTTTGGCTTTCCAGAAGATTGAAACTTTTCTCCAAGACTACTGTCTCACCACTATGATATACAGTTACCATTTCCAAGTGATTAGGAAGTATTCTGGAGAAAGATGAAGCTGCATTTATTTTGAACGCTGGTGGCATACCTTCATGATTATATTGAACTAATAATAAGTAAGACCACATCATCTCAATCATCTCTCTGTGCTGACAGCCAGTGTAAGTGAGAGCTTAGATTTCTGATTTCTGCATTCTTTTTTTTTTTTAAAAAGCTTAGTACTTTTTTTTTTTTTTAAAGATTTTTATTTATTTGAGAGAGAGAGAATGAGAGAGAGCACATGAGAGGGGGGAGGGTCAGAGGGAGAAGCAGACTCCCTGCTGAGCAGGGAGCCCGATGCGGGACTCGATCCAGGGACTCCAGGATCATGACCTGAGCCGAAGGCAGTCGCTTAACCAACTGAGCCACTCAGGCGCCCAATTTCTGCGTTCTTGATGTGAAAACTTGAGGTCTAAAAAAAACTTTTCTGCATTAATTTATATATATATATATATATATTTTAAGATTTTATTTATTTATTTTTACAAGAGCGAGAGAGAAAACAGAAACAGGGGGGAGGGGCAGAGGGAGAAGCAGATCCCTGCTGAGTAGGGAGCCCGATGTGGGGCTCAGTCCCAGGACCCTGGGATCATGACCTGAGCCAAAGGCAGACGCTTAACCGACTGAGCCACCCAGGCACCCAATTTTTATATTTTTTAAAGTAGTAAAATAGCTCCTTGATAGTAGCAGAAACTGGAGAGATTAGGTTATTGAATTCACAGAGGGAACCAAAGGGTAACTTTCTTCCATATGAATTTTCCTTTCAACAAATATTCTATAACTATTTGGATGAATAATCTTGAATCATTAGAAGCAACCTTTTTAAAAAAAAAAACTATGATGCAAGACTTTGAGTTTTGTCTTGATTCTGCTACTGGAAGATTTTGCATTTAGGATGAAACATAGGCTTTTGAAAAATTTTTGGATCACTCTTAAGAACAACTTACGAAATTGGAGTTTTCATCAAAGAAGGAGGCCTAGAAGAAATTTCTCCCATTAATTACTTATTTGGATTCCTAGAATTTTCTTCTAGAACTGTGTATCCAGATGCTTTGGTAATACTGTATTAAAGAAACACAAGAAATTAGGACTAGGGATTGTCTTTTTATGTAAGAGCATACTAGATATGGTATGCCAAAGTAATGAACTACTTTTAAGTTACTCGGTTTCTTTTATGGCTAAATGAGTAGTGAATCTCTGCTAAGCCACATTAAAGTGGTTTATCAGTTTTGCTTTTCTAAGCTGTGCTTTCCAAAATATTTGATATGTAGCATTCTTTTTTGTTAACTATGATAAATAATTAGAATAGAGGTTTCTACATTGTTAGTGTACCAGTAGAGTGATTTTAGGCTATCATGTTTAAAAAATGTTAATATTGGTTTAATTACTCAGTTGTATTTGTCTAGATCTTATGTAATTATTTTAGTAAAAGATAGCTTTTATTCAACTGGAAATAATGTTCTAATAATAAAACTCATGGCATTTAATCAATACTATCAAAAATATGGGGTAATTAATTGGGTGATGGGCATTAAGGAGGGCAAGTGATGTGATGAGCACTGGGTGTTATACGCAAATGATGAATTATTGAACTAATGATGAAACTAATGATGTACTGTATATTGGCTAATTGAATTTAAATAAAAATGAAAAAATAAAAAAATAAAAATACTATCAGAAATAGCAAGTAAAATTTATATAAGGTGAAATTTATTTTGGTAATCTGATTTCTGCTTTTTTCTTTCTTTTAAGCAATATATTGTTACAGTTAGGTTATGTTGAACTAGAGAAAATTCTGTTTTTACTATTGTTTGTTATGATGCTCTAGGAAATTGAACTATTTGATAATGTAAATTTTGTTGAATTCTGTATTTACCAGATCCAGAAAGCTTGTACCTTTATTGATATTTAATTATGTACTTCTTCCTCAGGATATAAACATGCCTATAGTATCTTTTTGCTTGTTTGTTTTAGACCTAGAGATCTTTTGGCCTTTTGATTCTCTTTTCTAAAACACCTTCACCTAGTAATTTTACATTGTTGCCTGATAATGACATTTCTTACTCATCTAATGGATTTGTTCACCAGTGGCAAATAACAGTATTATTATTAAATAGCATTCTGTGTGCTCAATATGAGCTATTTTCTCATAGGTGGTTTTTATTTAATTAATTTTATTCATTGAGCCATTGGGTTAAGTTTTGAGATGAGATTCGTATCTTTGTTCCTTAATTTAAGTTGGCCATTTTCCTTAAGGCAGAAAGTCTTGTAAAAACTGCTTTGCTTAAGACCTGTGAGTTCAAAGACAAACTGTCCATTTTAATTTAACAAATTCTCCTTTGGGTAAGTTTTATAGTCTACGCATACATTGGGTACTGATGTGTTAGCAGGGCAAAAGTTTGATGTGTTAGCAAGACAAATTTTTGTTGTTATTGTAAAAAGGAATAAAAAGTAAGAATCTAAATGAATTCACCAAAATATGAAGGATTTTCAAAGGCATAAACTAAATAGAATCATGTTTTTTCCCCTCTGTGGAAAGGAAATATATGAATTTGTTTTGCTATTCTTTAATTTTCTTAGAAAATTATTTAAGAGTTAGAATAAAAACCAAAAGGTACGGTGATGTTCTTACCTGTTTTTGCATGTGTGTGGTTTATAGATGAGGCAGTGGTATTCATTATACAGTTAATACTCAGTTTTATGAGTTTGAGTTGTCTGAGTTGAGGCTTTGCCCAAACAACCGTAAGCCGATTGTTACAATTTGGTAGAAAAAGCTTTCTCTCTCAAGAACACTGGGGAGAGGGGCAGGGGGTAGGAGTGGGGAAAGGAACAAATTCCATAGGTCATTTTTGTTTTATCACATTGTGATATATTGTTTTCTTGACATTATGGATGCCAAAGTTGATTTTAAAAATTTTCTTACAGATGGTATTAGGTCATTCGGGTAACTTTGTTTTAATTTTAGACTTAAACTGGTGTTGCACAGGGGAGAAGAGGCCTGTTTAATTAGTGTGAACACAAGGGCTGGTTTCTTTTTTAGTATTTTATGCCCAAATATTGACATCATCTATAATGTATTTTATATCACCAAGCTATTTTAAACTATAACTTCATAGAAAAAATTTGCTGTTTTTATTAGAATAGGCAAATGATATTCTCCCATAGAAATAAACTAAATACTTTTGGAATACATTTAATAATCTTATTATAAAGTTCTGTGGCTTAGTTCTTAAACATGTAATTCTCTGTTAATCTTGCACACCTAATTCATTTAAATCTTGTTTGGATGACATTTCACAAAATGGCATTGGCATCCAAAAATCGAGTATCTATGTCATTTAGACTGATGTCTGCATTATAGGCATTGTGACACATACCAGTTTTTATGTAGTATTACTGCTCTTAAAATTACTTTTCTACAAATTAACCTGGGGGTAGAAAAGTAGTCATTAATAAGCTTTTTCATTATTTCAAGCCCTACCCATCATTTCATCAGTTTTTAGTCTTCTGTATATTCTTTGAAATACAATAAAGTATTGACAAGCAAACTTTGGTATGATGTCATTTTCTAATTATGATAGCCTATGGTATTTCTTAGAATTCATCTTTATACATTTAAAAATTTAAGTATTATAGTACTTCTTTTTGTATTATTTGTATTATTTGCCAATTAAATTTGTATTAAATTTAATTGGATTTGAGCAATGATGTGTCTGTTTCTGAAAATAGTTACATCGCAGAGCTTTAGTGTGATAAATTATGAACTTGAGTACTCCTCCTGTTTTTTTTTTTTTTTAAAGATTTTATTTATTTATTTGACAGAGCGCGCGAGAGAGGGAACACAAGCAGGGGGAGTGGGAGAAGGAGAAGCAGGCTTCCTGCGGAGCAGGGAGCCCGATGCGGGGCTCGATCCCAGGACCCTGGGATCATGACCTGAGCCGAAGGCAGACGCTTAACGACTGAGCCACCCAGGCGCCCGAGTACTTCTCCTGTTTAAGTTCAGTACTGAGGCAGTTGGTCAGACAGAATATGACTAATTATCTGAGCCTCTATTCACCTAAACACATTTATTGGGGAATTGAGTCCCAGATTCTGAGCTTCTTGTCTTTTCATTTAGTGTGGCTTTGTTGGTTTGTTTCAGAAGCCTTTCTAAAATATAACAAATTGTAAAGTTCTTGGCAAGTAAGTATTGCTCAATGGCCAGAGAGTTGTGGAAAACCGTGACTCTTAAAATTCTACCCTGCATAAATTCTGGGAGGGTAGAATTACAAATGGTTGGCGACTCCTGAACTTTGCACTGAAGAACTTGCTTGCCCTTGTGGCAGAAATGATCTGTACATATCCAGAGAGTTTCATTTGCACTTTCTGCTTTTCCTTTGTGCACTGGAACATTCAAATAACAAAACTTGAATGACCTACTGCTTTTCTACCGGGATTTTTGTAAGATTCCAAGTGGTACTTCAATGCCATTTTCAGTTCTTTTTAAGATAAAAATAGCATTTTCGTGACAATTGACACAAGTAGGATTTGTGAACATTCCTCACTACTTTTTGTGATCATATGAATTTTTATATAGTAAGACCTCATTAAATTGGATGTCCCTAACTGGAATTTTGGCCTTTCATTTTATATATGAAAGAGCGAAGGAGGTTGTAATTAATTCTGTAAACTAGAGTCTAAGATATCTGTTTAAAGTAATAATTACCTTTTAGTATTTTTAAAGTCTTGGCATGAGTGTGTGGAGATTTAGATAATTTGTATTTATTAAAACTGATTATGGTAAAAGCATGAATTTGTAAGACCTCCACTTCCATGTGTGCATATAGCACATAATTTCTTTGCAAATCTATTAATTAATTTTATTTATTTAGCAAGACTCTGACCTATACTGTAAAGGAACTAAATGTGAACTTTTTACTAATGTAGATTGGCTTTTCCTTCAGATTTTTTGAATTATAATAACATTTGTAGTATATCATAAGGGATCTTCCATAAGCATAGTAAAATCTGCTTATTTGTTTGGCTGATGTGGTTTAACCATATTTCTCCTAGGAAGGATGTTTGTTACTATTTATTATAAAAACAAAAGCTAGATTTTTATTTTTGACTTGGAAATTAGGAGGCTCAAAGCTTTCTGCTTCTGACATTCCCTCCCTCATTTCATTCTTTAAACTTTAAAAAATTAAAGGGACTTTACTGAATAAAATTATTATTATTAAGGGATTTGAACTTAATGAAACTCAAAAGAGAATTTAAAGGGAGTAAATTTTTAGATAGGAACCAAGACCCTCACTTAGCTTCCACTATGGAGACAGGGACAAAAGACCCTTCCCTTTCTCTTCCTTGTATTCTAGGTATGTAGCATATTCTGACCAGAGATTTAAATCCTGAGAACTTGTCTTGTAGAGGGATGGGGGAGACTTGTCATGCCTTTGGAAAAGGTGGATCCAGACCATCCCAGTGTTTGGATAATAGAGAGGTAAATCAGTGTGGGAAACAGCACGACCTGCACACGCACGCACACACACACAGGGACACCTTTATTGTTTACAGAGTTGTCTGTGTGCAAGGGAGACTGCTCCTTCAGAAAACGTAATCTGGGAGTTGTTTGCCGGGCTGTTGGGACTTCGTTTGAAATATTTGGACATTTAACTTACAAATGCATCTTTAGGAAGGTTCCTAAATATTATGAACGTTCCTAAATTTTAGGCAAATATAGGGCTTTAGACAAAAGTGTATTTATAGGTTTGTTTTCCCCAAATTGTTTTTTTTCTTCATTCATACCAATTCTTGTATGTAATAGGGAATTAAGTACATATTTTAAAAGATTTTAAGGGTAATGTTAGACCATTCTCCTGTTTCTTTTATCTTTTGTTTATCTTAACAGTTTTAACTTTGGCTATTCCTAAAGTCTTGACTCTTTTATCTTTTCAGAATCTGTAGAAGAACAAGATGTTCTTGATAGCAGTACAGAGCAGACAGATGAGAAAATATCAGATACAGAGCAGACAAACCAAGGGACTGAAAAAGTATCTGGCACAGAGGAACCAGAGGAGAAACAAGAGGCCGTGAATGAGGACACCTCAATGAATGAAGCCAAATCGCCAGTCCCCAGAGCTGATTCTATTCCTAATCCTGAACTCAGTGGAGAATCTTTGATGGCCATGTAGTAAATGCTTCCATGTGCCTTCAACTGGATATTTGTAGTCTTGTTGATGTCAGTTATTGCTTTCTAGGTGGTGCTTTTTTTTTTTCCCCTAAGGATATGCTTGATATCATTTGAATTTAGATTGCTTGGCTATTTGAATATGTCAAAGTTGTAGCTCCTGAGTGTTAAATTAAAGGCAAGTGATAGCAGTAAAGTAAGAACCTTTGGAATGTATAAAGACCCACGCTGTTTAGCCGGCTTTTAGATGTTTTCTTCTACTCTAAAAGTAAACAAAATAGCATTCTTGTTTTCTCTGTGTGTGACCTGTAAATAATACCATTTTGACATAGGAAGAACTTTGGTTATGAGTAAGTTCTAATGGTGTTCATTTTAAGGAATGAAACTCAATTAAGATTTTTAATCATTCATCATCAAAAATGGATAGAATTTTAATTCTTGAGATATTTGCAGGGGGCAAGTCTATTTAGGCATTTACATTAAGTGGTAAGAAAGTTGTAACTGTAACTATATAGGCATTGGTACGAATTCTCAGTAAGAATGCAATTGAACAGTCAAGTGCAGTGTTTCTTTTTTGATGTTTCTTATTTTGCAGCTGGGCCAAAGGCACATGATGTATATAATTAGCTTATGTTTACATATTAACACATAGGAAGTATCTCTGCACTTGAATTCTGAACATTATTTATACTTGTAAAATAATGGTGATATATAAGTGAATTTTGTGCTCTTGCATGTATTTTGTTAAGGAAAATAAAGGTGATCTGGCAGCGGTTTCTTTTTGTTAAATATCTAGACTTCTTCAGACAGTGTCTTGGTGGATGACTTGGCCACCTGAAAACTCTTAGGAGGAGGAGCTCACAGTTCAATTAATCTATAGACTCTTCTGAGAGCAAGTTATGATGCTTTGGTTCAGACTAATTGCTTTTCAAATTCAGAGAAATCGTGACATTTAGAGGTTCGAATCAGAGGTTAGGGTTTTCTGACTCAGGAAAACCTGAAGCCATTTGTAATTTTTAATTTTGAGAGACAAATAAGTTTTGAGAATAGGCAGTTAGTTACTAGTAGTAGTTCATTGGATTTAATGTATGTATTAAGGATTAACTGGGAAAAAATTTCACCCAGAATAGTGATTCTTGGACCTTAATCCAGCGTGGTTATCTTTTTTAATCTTCCTTTTATCTTTCTTCTCCATTATTAAGGAAATTGAAATCAAAGAGAGGCATATATAGGAATGGTATATATAGTGAATATTTCTCAGTTAAATAAACTAAATGCATAGTTTATTAAAAATTTAATAAAATAACATTTGTTATTTAAAAATTCATCTTTATGATTTATATCTTACATCTGATAGGTATTTTAATGAATCCAATCTGTTAATAGTCTGAGGCATAATGGTATAGGGACCAGAGTTTTTCAGATCACAAAACTGGGTTTAAATTCTAGTTCTGCAGTCTTGGGCAAGTCACCCAACCTCTCTGAGACAGTTTTTTTCAACTGTAAAATGGGAAGTACAATACCTACTTTTTGGGGTATAGAGATGATTAAAAATAATTTATATGCCAAACTCACTGCCTGATAATTAATAATTAAGCAAATGGCAACATTTTATATTATTGATATCCTTGTGAAATACGGAAGAGGTATAAATTCTCCCTCTTACAAATAAGGAAATGAAAAAATAATATGAACATATAATTTAGCTGCTCAGAATCAAGCCAGAGTTTTCTGCATCAACTTTTCTCTGTCATATACATGTATATAAATAAATACATAGATGAAAGAAATAGGAACCTGAAACTATGGAATATAATCTCTGAATATAATATTTTTTGGGGAAGGTGGATCTCAGGTTTTGTACATTACTGGCCCATAAACATTTTAGTAACATCATGCTGAGTCTTCTTGTTTGTTTGTTTATTTATTTATTTATATTTTTTTGGAGTGGGTGGAAAGGCAGAGGAAGAGAGAGGATCTCAAGCAGATTCCCTGCTGAGCACGGAGCCTGATGTGGGGCTCAGTCTCACCACCCTGAGATCATGATCTGAGTCGAAATCAGGAATCGGATACTTAACTGACTGAGCCACCCAGGTGCCCCGAGTCTTCTTGTTTTAAAACATTCAAATTCTGATGTACATTGCTTGAAAACGAGGAGTACTTCAGAGAAATATAATTGAATGATAGAATCAAGCAAATATTATGAGAAACATCTTTGAAAGAAAAATGGAAGCAGGTTAAAAGGGGATTAGTAAGATGAATGCAAGAGGTAACATGCTGTAATTGTATAGTACCCTTTAAAATAGAAAAGGTTATCCTGATATTGTAATAAATAGTTAATGGTTTTAAAGAGTGGTAAAATGTTCTATTTCTGATTATTAGGACTGGTGTAAGTGAGGAAAAACAACCTACTAAGTGCTATTAGCTAGAGTGATCTTAACTTCCCTACTTAGAAATGCTCAACAGATATTTTCCAAACTCTTCTCCCTGTGTCCTGAGCGTCATCAGGACGCTCCAAACACGGTCTGGTTTCTTTGTCTCCATCCCTCCTCCAGCGTTATGCTGTAGCCTCCAGGGCTCTCCCAGTTCTGTGACCATGCTAAACCCAGTCCTGCATTAAGTCTCAGCTTAAAAGTTCTCAGAGAGGGGTGCTCTTAAATTCCCTATCTAATACACTCTGTCATGTCACTTTCTCTCTACTAATGGTCCTTATCACAATTTTTAGTATTTTATTTGTTTACCAGTTTACTGTCTATCTTCACAACATACAGTCTGTGTGTGCAAGGCTCTTTTATGTCTTATTTACCTGTATCTGTGGGTCTAGCACAGTGCTTGACACATACTTTTTATGTAAATGAATAATTTAGTTGCTAAATCCAGTGAAAACTCTTAGTCCTTAACTTATTTCACTGCTTGGCAGTATTGACATTGTTGAGCACTCCTTTTGGTTTGAAACACTTTTTTTTTTTCCTTTGGCTTTGGTGCTCTCACACTCCGGTACTTTCCTCTCGGTGTCCTTTGCAGGCTTCTCTTCCCTTGCCCATCCATTCAGTACAGGTATTCCATAGCTTCTACCCAGTGCCAGCATTTCTTCACTCTGCATATTCTCTCTCTGGAGGATCTCATCAACCCCATGGATTTAATTAACACCCGTCTCTCTGATTCTCTAATCTCCAGCCTTGATCTGTTTGTTTCACTTTGGACAGATATAATCGCCTGCCTTCTAAATGTCTTTCACAATCAGTATATTAAAAAATGAACACTGTTTTCTCCTTCAAACCTACAAAACTTAAAAATATTATGTATTTGAACTACAGTGCCCCCTCAGCCCCTTTCCCCTTTTTCCTACATCTTCGCTCTCAATTTCTGTCTTCAAAACATCTTCCAGTTAGTTTTTCATTTCTCCATCCCATTAACATTAATAATGATAATAAACATTTGCATTTACTCTGTGCCAGGCAACACGCTGTCATATGTGCCTTATTTGTTCTTTGGCATACCCTGTGAGGATTTTTACTTCTGGATTATAGATGAGAAAACTGAGCTGTAGAGAGAGTAAGCAGTTTGGTCAGTGGAAAATCTGGGATTTGAATGCAGACAAATAACTTTAGAAGTTTGCTCTTAATTACTGCCCTACTGCCTTCTCATTCAGGCATCCAGTATCTCCACACTGTCTCTTCACTGGTTTCTGTCTCCAGTCTTGCCCACTTGCTATCAATTTTGTGCACTATGTCCTGAATGAGTTTTCAAAATTGGAAAAGGAATCCTGCTACACCATTGCTTAAACCCTTCAATGATTCCTCATTATTCTTGGGACGAGGTCCAAACTGACTGATAGGGCCTACAGAGCCTGTATAATTTTGCTTCTAGTTTACCTCTGGCATTTCTGACCACAACTATTGCCACCATGCCCGCCCCACTTTAATGTAGCTATCTTAATGTTTTCTGTGGTTTGTATATGCCAAGTTTTTTCTAATCCCCCAGCTTCCTCTTCCTCTGCCTGGGATATCCTCCCACTCACAAAGACACAGGGACACACAATAAATAGTTGCCAAATTGCATTGAAATAGTAGTAGTTAGAACCAAAATTTGGAAATGTTGCTAGTTGTTGTTAACCTTTGCCTTTTATTCCTGAAATTCCTCTTTTTCATTTCATCTTATGTATGACCATATACAATATTGTTATGGAGAACATGATTGAGTCAGGAGAGTTATAGCTTTGTGTGTGTGTGTGAGAGAAAAAGGGTGAAAGAAAGAGATACTCTAATTATGTAATGATTTTCATTAAGTATTGTATGCTGAATGTCAGAAAAGCTGAGTGACTTACACAGGTCATAGGGATAGCTAGCATCTGAACCACGCCAAAACTCAGATCTCAACTCTTAATGTAGGATGCTTTATATTGAACCCCCAATTTTACACTGCCAATCAATATTGGTGTTGGAGTTTGATTACTTTAAAAATGTGACATGTTTTCTTATTTTTTTTCTAATATTACTTGGCAAGATTACAATACTACTTGCTGGATTGTGTGCGAATTAGTCAAAGGGCCGAAGAACAGGGATAGTTGACGCAATTATGAATAGCTATTTTGAAACAATCATGGAGAACGGAGCTGCTTTAGAAAATCAGAAGAAAGTAATGTAAGTTATTATACAGTATAACCAATTCATTGTAAAAAAATTGCAGAAGAGTTTTAGATATAGTTTATGGACTCCCAAAGAGCTATTATAAATAATTCAAGTACTTATGTAAAGATGAATCAAGATAAAGATCGTGAATTGATGATCTGCTAAATCTTAGTTTGTAATTTGACTTGTTTCAAAGTTATTGAAGTTCTAAATGTATTAACTCCACCTAGCAAATAAATGTATTCGGGCTCTGAATTTAGACAAAAAAAATTATAAATAAAGCAAAGTACATTTATTAGAATATAAACTTAAAAATACAGAATAGAAACCTCATTAAATTGTATCAGTCCATAAACTATTAATTTGTCTCAACCTAATTTCTTTCCTTCTCAGAAACAAATGTGTATTTTCTACTTCAATACTATTTAAAAATGTCTTTTTAAAAATTGTTGCATTTATTCAATAGTGGATGTCCCCCCCAAGTGCCCTTTGGTTTGCCTTTGTGTGAAATTTAGATTCCATTTACTTTTCCATTCTTTCTCCTCCAGAGGTCCTATTATGTGGCTTAATTTGTACTACTTGTGGACTTTAGAAGAAAACACTATCCACTTATATAGCTCTATATTATTTGATGTTCTTTTACAACCTAGATTTTCTCTAGTTTTTTTTTTCTAGTATTTATACCTTCCTTTTTCTTTGGCAGCAAAAATGGTAGAAGTTGGAAGCACTCAGAGAAGATTAAAAAGTGTTCTCAAAAATCTCCTTCATAAATTAGTTTTTTAAAGTTCTTATTTCAGGATTATATGAGAACAGGCCAGATTTTCAGCTGCCAAAACTTTTACCAGATCCCTGGCATTTGGTTTAGGAAAACTGGGGAAAATCATTTATTTTTGTGAAAATAAGTATTTTTATCTTAGTCTGATTTTGAAGGGTGAAGAAAGTAGGGAATTAAATGAACATTTTTGGAATATCTGCTCCTGGTGAGGCACTGTGCTTTAGATACTTTCACATGCATTGTCTTCCAACCATGTGAGGAGGTGGAATCCTATCAGGCAGGAATTAAGTTAATTCCCCAAGACCACTTGGTTTATGGATGTTGTAAATGGAATCAGAACCTAGGATCTTTAAGTCCCTGTCTGTTTCTCCTCTTTTGGTAGCTGGAAGAATAGACTAATGCTCTTTTGGATGTCTCATATTTTTGTGATAATTCCAGGTGTTGCTTCAGGGCAGTCTTCTCAGCTGAATGCTTGTCAGAGTCTCTACTCAACCAAATTAATAGTTTATGGACTGATACAATTTAATGAGGTTTCTATTCTGTATTTTAAAATTTTTATTCTTATGTTTATATTCTAATAAATGTACTTTGCTTTATTTAAATTTTCATAAATTCTTTCATAATTTATCTCCTACACTTGACAATGAACTCCTTAAAGGCAGGGCCATGTCTGTTTTTACTTATCAATATATTCCTAGTGTCTGGCATGTAGAAGACACAATAAATTAGCTGTTGAATAGATAGTTATGTGCGCACACACACACCCAGAATGGAAAATACTGTTGTAGTCTTAGTGCAGATTTTGTAGTGTGAGCAATTGTGTAAATCTCAAATTTGAATTGCTGAGTAGGAAGAGGGCCAGATAATTTGATCCTCACAATTTAGGCAAACTCCAATGGACTCCTTTGTCTTTTTTTTTTTTTTTTTTTAACAGATGTGTCATTCCAGCCCACTCCTGCCCTAACATACCGCACCACAGGAGGGATTTTGGACTTTTTTTTTTAATCCATCATCCATATTGCTGTAGGAGCTTTCTAAAACACAAGCTGGAGGGAAGGGGGGAGGGGGGATGGGGTAACTGGGTGATGGGCATTAGGAGTGCTCTTGATGGAATGCATGAGCATTGGGAGTTATATGCACCTGATGAATCACTAAACTCTACCTCTGAAACTAATAACACACTATATGTTAATTGATTTAAATAAAAAGAGAAAACACAAGTTAAAAAAATATTCTAAGGCTCATTTGTATATGGCTGACTCCTTAGGTGGCTTATAAGGATCCCCTTTTCTAGCTTTTTCTTCCGCTACTCTCCCTTATGTTCTGACCACAGAGAAGTATTTGGTGCTTCTGAGAGATGCCCTGCACTGAGCTTATGTGGTGCTATTCTTGTTAAAATCTCATTTCTTTAAGACCCAGCTTTATCTATAATCTTCTGAGTGACATCTTCCTTAGCTTTCCCAAGCAGTTATTTGCTTTTTTGTTCTCAT